AATATTTGATTAAATAACATATTATCATGAGTCAAGAAACTTGATAACTACCAACCATTAATATCCAGTAAAACGAGTTTATCTAAATCGCATGGTTTTCCCCTCCGTAAGTGAAAGTGAAAGTAAAATGTTCTGGGGGTTTCAGACAAAAAAACATGACTCTTAGGCATGTTTGAATAACATTTTTGACGGATTTCCACATGCTATAGTTACAAAATAAATATGTTTGATATTTTAACCATTTTAAAGGATTTTAACCTCCGCATTCCTCGCGCTACCTGAAAGTACGTCATGGCCTATTGAAGTCGGAAAACATAATCATTCTTAAAACCACTGAAGGATTCGAACGCATTTGATATATATTGCGTACAAAGCATTGAAACAGAAAACATTAATAATAGCATAAAAAGATTGGCAGAACACCTTTGTCAAAAAACAGAAGCGTTATACTTACTTATTCTGGCAGAACAACTGGCGCTCAGAAACACTAGAGCGACCACAGCGAGTTTAAACCACATGATTATCACAGCAGTAATTTCTCAGTTTTCTATAATTCTTTTCAAAGTTATGGCCTGAGTCGAGTTCACGTCTTGTCTTCTGCTCTCTGCCTAAACACAATACGCGGAAAGACGGAAGGGGAAAAACATACGGGTCACCAGATTAAACCCCGCCCTCAAATATTTTTTTAACAAATCATATATTGTATTTTTCTGTTGCTGGGTGATAATGGCGCTCTGATGGTTGAGATGACTTGCATTAGTCAACATGAAATAAAAATCGACCCTTTTCTTTTTTTAATATATTGCATTATTCATTATAAATGATTTAGCCTAGTCGTGCACAACTTTTTATTGTTTTTAATTCGTGTGCCTCATAATCTTTAATCAAAATAAATTCCTTGCAAAATTCTTGCAACGACATCTCTTCTCTGATGACCTCTGTACTGGCGGGGCGGGGCAACCTGTCACTCACATGAGATCGACCAATAGCAAACCACAACCATCCAATCAGATTCAATTCGCCATGGACCAGAGCCGTTGACAAAATCAAGTCCCGCAATACAATTTCTTCGTTCAAAATGTATTTTCGTACCTCCCAGAGGACTATTTAAGAACTATGATGTACAGGTTCATAATTCATGTGAATAATGCATAGCATAGGGCGGCTAATTAATTCTAAAGTGAAGATCATTGTAACCCACCTGTAATTATTGACTCAAGTGTTACTACATCCTTAATCTAAAGGAATTACTTCTGATTTATGATTTATAATGGCCTAAAAACCCCAAACGCAAGGACTTGTTCATTTTAAAACTTTTTTTTTTCTTAAATAGAAAAGTATTTATTTCAGCCTAAAACTGTTTTTATTAAGAGAAAAATTTGCCCAACTTTTGTGAACACATTTTTTTGAGCCAAATGCCTATTCTGCAAATTATATCATTGACCTACTGTTTATATAGCTACATCATACCACATGTTTTCAGCATTGATAAATTATCTTTAAAGGACTCCTGCGTGCCTTGAAAAGCGGAGCATTATTTAATGTGTTCACGTAATTTCCACTGAAACAGGAAGACAGGGCGGGACATATCAAACAGCTCCTCCCCTTTTGTAAAATAGCCAATAGCGTTTCGTTTATATCACAGCTGGACCAGAGCCATTGAGCTCAAACCATTTCTCCTCATAACCTCCTCCATATTTCTTTTACAATATAGCACTCTGTGCAAAATTCAAATGGGTCCGATACGTTTTGTGGTCTGCGGCGACTCGCGTCGCGTACATTATGATCCGCTCTGTGCTATCATCACTTCGTGTGTCACTAACGTGAAACCAGATTTCATTCACCGCAAAAATATTTACCCTGTCTGAATCATTCCCTATGTCCTATATAGTGCACTATGTGCCATTCATTGTGTAAAATCGTAATTGTGTGAACAAGTGACCGACTTTAGCTGCAGCTTCAGCGTCTATTTAAAATGTAAGGGCGCTTAAGACTCCAGTGAGCATTTGATTGGATAGAAAATCTGATGAGAAGCTGAAGTGCAGAGTGATGTCATCAAAATCATTGATCCATATTGGCAGAAATAAGTTTTGAATGCATATCATCTAAATGCGAATTTTGTCATTGTTTTGGAGCACACTAGCTTAGAGATGACAGTGCTTAACATATTCATACTAAAAGCCAAAAAAAAAAAATATTTGATTTCATGGGGACTTTAATGCAAGGTTGAATGCAATGAAAACCGTGTATTTTGTGTCATCAAATGCAAGTCGTCTAGCCTAAACACCGTGGTCATAGTATTTAATTCTCCGTAAATGTTGGCTAATTATTAGAATGAGCCCTCCTACATACCCCCCCACCCCTCCCTCTCTCTCTCTCTCTCTCTCTCTCTCTCTCTCTCTCTCTCTCTCTCTCTCTCTCTCTCTCTCTCTCTCTCTCTCTCTCTCTCTCTCTCACACACACACACACTCATATCACCGCGAGTGCTGTGAAGACGTGATTCAAACATTCACACTCTGGATTTCTCAAGTAGCCTATTCCACAAGCTGACCAGTCTGAGGGAAAATCGCCTTCGCCGTGTTTGTAATTCCCATGTTCCTCGATCGTATTATTCAGGTAAATGTCTTCTTCTTCTGCCATACTATATTTGAACAAATTAAAAATAGGCTAAATTTGGTTTTGTTGTAGCTTCTTATGGCTTATTATCTAGCGCTGCTTGCACCAAAGTCGTCGAGCTTTAAAGACTTAAAATATAGCAGAGCAACTTGAGTTTTGTCTGCCATTAATTTATTTGGATTGTTCAGTTATTTCGCTCCACAGTCCAAGTCTATCCCAATATATATATATATAGGGCTCATGGGCACTCTCAGAGATCTTCAGTTCGCACTTCAGTTGAAGATTGAGGAGTTACGGCAAAGAGATGCTCTTATCGACGAGCTGGAGCTTGAACTGGACGCTAAAGATGATCTGATACGACGCCTGCAGGGGGAGCTCGACCGTCTGCGCCTCTCCGCTCCAGGCATCTCAGCCTCAGCTGCCACTGCTGGTACTGAAAGTCGTTTTATTTTTGAAATGTCTTTTAAAGGGCATATTGCAGGTTAGAGGACCCAACGAGTCAATGTATAGAAAAATAATGTAGGAACTAGATTTTCTTTAAAATATTCTTATAAATACGCTACATAAGCTTCTGGAGTCGTTTTTGTGAGAAAATTTTACTTCCGCGTCTGAAAATGGGTGTGGTGGGCGTGACGTAACGGGCGGGAGAGCGGTCGATTCAAACAACAGGAAAACAATGGATCGCAATGACATTTCGGACGCTGAGGAAATACTTACTTACAATTATGGACTACAGCCATGCAATTATGAGCCTGCTATGCTGCCAAGAGAGTAGGGACAGGCCAGGATTAATGTCAGACAGAACGGTCAGAGACACATTGAGTTGTGGTGTGAGGAGAACCAGTGGAGAACAGGACAGGTGTCTTGGTGAGAGACATACTTATAGATACACGTTCGCTAACGATATACACTGTGCTCACAATATTGTACAGATTATTACCATCGTATATCAGGCCAGCAGACATTAGTATGTTTAGGGTAGATGTATACTATTAAATGTATAAAAACTATACTTGAGTATATTTCTATTGTAAGTTACTAAAAACATACTCAAGTACATTTTTAAAACATATTTTTCATCTGGGTTATAACATAAACAGAAAATTAAAGATTTGAATATTTAATCAACCTAGTAATTTTGTTTTTCAATTACAAGTTGCCTCTATTTAGGGCATGACTCCCTATATCACACTATTTGATGCAATTGGTACAGTATTAGACGATCAATATTTTTGCTTCGGCATCCCATGTTAAACTCCATCATATCGCCGGGATGATAATCCTCCGATCTGAAGTGAAAGCTACACACGACCGCGTTTCTCGAAGCCGATGCGGAAGAGAAATCCCGTCTCTTCACCTGCACAAACCGCACCAGGCACGAAAGATATACAGCAGCACCGTTTTTCTTGTGTGGGAAACCTGTGGACTCGATGTCCTGACAGGCCGGAGTTTTTGCAACCTCCACAAACACAATAATTTACCATGACGATGATAGATTGAAATACAAAAACTACCGAAAACACACTGACTCACGGCCGCTCTCACTGAATGCCAGCCTACTCTGCACTGAGCCGAGGCTGAGGCTCCCTAGCGTGACGTAAAATGACGCGATGTTGAAAAAAAAGCCGTTTTTACGAGCAGTCCAAGAAACGCTCACTTTATCTACTAAATTAGTGCCCTTATGTCTTTTTAAAACATTTTAAATCCTGCATTACCTTTTCATATGGTATTTTCATACAAGGTTATATATTAATTTAGATTTTTTTTTTTACCTACAATATGCTCTTTAAGCTAGCTACTTTTAAGCTATAGGCTGAGTCAGAAATACATTTTGACTAGATGGTTTAAAAGTTAAAAATATGTATATAGAAACGTATTATTAAAAACAATAATAAACATTATAATAATAAAACAAATATTTAAAAAATGTGTGTTAAAATGTGGCTGATGCAGATGAAACTGTTTTCACGCTCTGACTCCACATCCATTTTCACACGCAGTGAAAAATCGAAACAAAGAGGACACTGACACCGACAGACAAGACAGAGCAGGATATTTTTATATGAAACAGCCCACATAGCAAACAGACTTGGCCCAAATGTGGCCTCAAAATGGCACTGCTGGCGTGTTGCCGGCACTGGCATGCATCATGTCAGCCAACTCTGGGCCATGCGTGGCAATGATGGCACTGCATGCATGACGGCAAACAACATTTGGGCCGATTGTGGATGGGAGGTGTGTGGCCCAGATCATGTCAGCCAACTCTGGGCCATGCGTGGCAATGATGGCACTGCATGCATGACGGCAAACAACATTTGGGCCGATTGTGGATGGGAGGTGTGTGGCCCAGATCATGTCAGCCAACTCTGGGCCATGCGTGGCAATGATGGCACTGCATGCATGACGGCAGACAACATTTGGGCCGATTGTGGATGGGAGGTGTGTGGCCCAGATCAGTTTAGCGATTATGGCCCAGATCAGTGTAGCGATTATGGGCCTTTGTGTACTGGACAGTTATAAGTATTTAGGGCTGCTAGGCCTATTAGTTTTCAGCAATGTTCACAAAATTCAATAATCATTAAACAATTCCCAAATCCATTTGACCTGAACAAAATATACATTTTCCTAACATGATAATTGATTTTTTTTTTTAAAATAAATTTATAGTTTAAAGAAAAAAGAATTCACATACAAAATAGTCATCATTTTCCATACTTTTTAGTTTAAGCACCACAAAATCATGTTAAAAACGTACTATATATATATAGCAGTTTATTAAAAAACGTTTGAAAAAAAATATCATTTAAAAAATGTTTATTTTGGCGCGATCTCCACGGTAACAGCAGCTTTTCTGGTTGGTGAATGAGGTTCACGTGATGTATGCGTCGTTTGAAATTTCTCCCGCTGAAGGGTGAAGAAGTCTGTCACTGTCAGACAACTGCTGTTCAGGTAAGTGAAGTTCGTCGCTCTCTTTCTTTGTGCTTTTTTAAATACCAGAATTCAAACTCGGATGTCACTTTGTTCTTTATTGAAGTGAACTTTTGCTTATATGGTAGCGGATCCACTGCCCCTTGAGAATGCGAGTACAGACTGACGCGACCGGTGCGATGTAATGTAAGTTAATGCTGTTAAAATGATAGGACAAATCACAGCGAAATCAGCAACAAACAACAGTAATTGACTTTTAAAGCTCAAAGTGATTCAATGGTTGTATAATCAGATTTAATTATATCTAAATCTAATCTGTGACTTTGATAATCAGGAGGATATGTCTGCTATTTTATGTGTGTGTGTGTATGTCTGTTCTTGTTTTTTAAAGGAAGTTCAAACAAAACTGAAAATGTACTCATCATTTTCTCTTAAGATTGGATGAGTTGGTTTCTTTTGATGAACACAAAGAACACATTTTGAGGAATGTTGGTGACCAGACAGGTAACTGGAATGTAACATTAAATTGGAAAGTGGTTCTCTACTGATTAAACATTTATTTTTTTAATCTCTGCTGTGTTCAACAGAAGGAAGAAACTCATACAGGCATCGTACAAGTGGAGGTGAGGAAATGTTGACAGAATTTACATTTTTGGTTTAACTATTCCTTTAGTGGATAATTGCCGTTTTATTTTAACAGTTAATAAATTAAAAGTTAATTCACAGATAAGCATGTGTTTACACCACAGTTTTCATATCTAAACATTTTTAAGGTTTTTGTTTGCTAAAAAGGTTTTGTTTGTCAAAATACTGTTGTCATACTGTTGTGAGTTTGACAACAGTATTTTGACAGTCATTCAATAGTGCCACATTATAAGCAACCATTTCCTGTATAAAATGTAACCAAAGCAACCTTATTTTATTTTGTTACCTACATTTATTTACAGGTGGATTAATGTTGGTATATGTATTTATTAATTTTGTATTAATTTAATATTTTGTCTTTTAGCTGCTGTGAGAAAAAAATCGTCTGACACAACATGCTCCCGATCAGGAGATAGAAGCAACTATACAAGATGGCTTCAGCTTGCTCCTGATAGAGATGGAGGAAGGAGAGAGCGCTTGAGGAGAAAAGAGGGGCTGCAGAGCTGGACTTCACTTCCTAAGAACAATTTTTTTCTCCCTCACACATACAAAAATTCTGATGTGTAAATTTGTTTTAAGTAATTGTTTTAATTTGCTCTATGTTTGTTGAGAGTAAAATTACATTATAATATGGTTACATTTCAGTGCTAGATTCATTCATAGATTAATTTAGTTAGAATTGGAAAATGTTGTATACTTGGCTGTTCAGGCAACTAAAATAGTAGTCACACAACTCTAGCTGTATTACTACAATATTACTACAATAAGTAAGCTACTGTTTAAAGGAACACTCCACCGTTTTTTCATATTAAACTTTTTATTTTTTTTTATTAAACAGACCATTAATATATTAAACAGACCATTAAACTATGTTATTGCCTTATAACATATAATGGATAACTATAATGTATGGCAGAATAGCACTTGATAGCACTTCAACTCGGTGCAGTAATATCATCACTCATAATCCTCTCCCGATGATAGTTATATTACTGCGCCGAGTCCAAGTGCTATTCCGCCATACATTATTATCCATTTTTCCCGCTTAGAAAAGCGCCATGTTTTATTTTGTTTCACCATACTTGGTCGTGTAACTGTATTTAAATAGGGAAAACGTGGAGGTGTTTGGTCGCTTCTAACTTCATCTATGTTTGGATCCTAATCAATGAACTGGGCTAAGCTAAGTGCTATCAAAGTGTTGCCGCGCGCCAGAGCGATTGAGTGCCACACTGAGACGAGAGAGGTATGTATCAACTCGTCTTAGTTAAGGGAATAACATAGTTTAATATGAAAAAACGGTGGAGTGTTCCTTTAAGACAGACCAGAACATTTTGAAATTAAATGCACTTTGAGGTAATAGGATGTTGCGCTTTGAATGTACAAAAAAAAAAAATAGCCTACACACAGTTACATAATTCTAGATGTGAATTTTCATTATTATTAAATGTTTTGGCTTGTGCATTACTACAATAAGTAACTGTTAAAGACAGACAAGAACATTTTGAAATTAAATGCACTTTTTTGAGGTGCTAATAAGATGTTATGCTTTGAATGTACTAAAATAGCCTTCACACAGTTACACAATTCTAGATGTAATTTAAAAATGTATTTTTGGCGTGTACGTTATTGTTAAATAAAGCAATTTTCAGAATTGAATTTTCCTGTGACTTATTTGTTCATATGGTTTGGTAAGATTAGGCTGGGTTATGGCTCAGTTTTGGGGTTTCTGGTGTTGATAAGGTTAACTTATGGCTGAGACTTGGTACCAAAAATAAAACCTGTTTTGGTCCTATTCAGGGCCAGTTATGGCCCATGTGTGACTCTTGTCCTTAATCCAGTTCTGGGCCACTTCAGGGC